AAAATATATTATTTTGGTTCTGCTTTGGGGCAGAGATAGGGGTTTGGGATGGAAACACCCAAAATATGGTGGTGGGAAGGTGTAATGGTGGTGGGATTGGTACTTGATATTAGAGGTAATGAAATATCGTGAACTACTTTATAAAATAAAAATATATTTTTTAAAAAAGAACAGACAAGGGGTAGAAGTCCAATTCTAGGTAAGGGGCTGAACTTTCCAGAGACAGACCACCTATAACCTACCCCTGGCATCTGATAGTGTACCCCTCCTCCACTGGAGAAGGGCTATCAGCCAACACCCCAGGAACAAGGCCACTGTGGTAACTCACACTTATTTTCATGGATTGCCCCATGGATTCTCCCCTTCGTTCTAATTTTCATAGATTCTCTCCATACTAAATCTCAGGGATTATTCCAGTTTCTCATTTTAGTTCTCTCTCTCTTTCTTGCTCTCTCTCTCTCTCTCTCTCTCTCTGCTTTTTGGGTCAGACTCGGTGATACACAGAGCTAACTCCTGTTTCTTCACTCAGGAATTACTCCTGGTGGTGCTCAGAGGACCATACGGGATACTGGGAATCGAACCCGGGTTGGCCGCTTGCAAGGCAAATGCCCTACCCTCTGTGCTATCACTCTAGTCCCTCAATCCAGTTCTTATAGATGATTTTTCTCCTCCTTTCCTCCAATAAACTCACTTGTTGTTGGGAGAATACTGGAGGGTCTATAAACTTCCTGCCTTTTGTGCCAAGACCCTCCTCTTGTCCCAGCTAAACCAGGCAGGCAGGTATAGATAGTGTCAGGGTTTAGCTGTCGCCTCTGGGTGGGGTGAGGAGCAGCTCTGGTGCTCTTGCGTCACCCAGCTCCTCACCTCCAGAGATCCTGCAAAATGCTACCGTTCTTCTACCCTTCTCCATGCCTTCTCCTCCTCCACTCCCTGGATGATATTATTTCAACCCCACCAGCGGGCTGGGAAGCCCTGCTCTCAGCTGTATGCTAAATAGCTCTGCAAGGCTGCAGGCCAAGTGCAGAACTGCCTGCTTTTTTGGCAACGGGATAAAGCAAGTGTCTCTAGAGAGCAGAGACCTGGGATGACATGGGTGAAAAAGCAGCGCGGCTGTTTGGGCTGGCACCCGGGACTCTGTCCCATGGCGCAGGCAGAGAGGCACTGTCGGGTGGTCTGCGGGGGCACCTGAGGGCCTGCCTCTTCCAGGCAGTTGTTCTCTTTTAGGCCCTTTCACCCTCCCCTCCCCCACCCCCCAAACCAGGGGACAGGGGGCCTTACACCCCAGGGAGACACAAACAACACCCTCTTTGGAATCAAACACCAGACCACCCAGGCTTGCCAAAGGCCGACAGGCTCTCAAAGGGGACAGTTTTGTCTCAAAGGTCTAATGGGACCAAGGAGATGAGAGTTTCAGCTATTTAAAAAAAAAAAGAGGGGGGGAGGTGGTGGTGGTGGTGAGTGGCGGGGGTGGGATGGGGGTACAAATAGACAGTCTTTCTCCAAATAAAGAAATTCTCCTCCACACAAGGAAACAGCTTACTTGTGGGTCAGGCTGGGGCCTTCCTGCTCTCCCGATTGCCTCCCAGTCGCTTTGGGGAGCGGGTACCCCCAGCTGAGGCCTTGCTGGGGAGTAGTGGAGCCACACACGGGCCCTTCCCAGAGCATGGTGCTCATGCTTGGAAAGGGGGCACCTACACATCTCTCAGGGCAGAATTCTAGGCAAGGCGATTCCCCCTGGAATCCCTAGGATTATACCAGGAAGACAGGCACTAGCTCTTCAAAGATAGGAGTTAACTCCACTACCAACTTCCAACATTTTATGGTCCTAATTTTTTTTTCATGTTTTCTATGAAAAATAGTTTTAATTGAATTTTTTCATGTTTATGATCTTGTTCGCCTATAACAATGTTTGGGTGAAAGGGCGAAGACTAGAATGATTTCCAGGCTTGGAAGGTCTTGTTAGGATAGAAAAGCTTAGAGAAGTCTCTTTCATTCCCAGATTCATATTTTAAGGGTGTTTTTTTCCAATTTATTAATTAGAAGACTATCCAGAAAGGTCTCTCACAGTCCTCTTCTGGAAGCCAGCAACACCCATCCGACCCTGTCTTAGAAGAACATAGAGGAAAGAGATAAGGCTCTCCATCCCCCAAAGAAATGACAGAGCCAGCACAGAAGTTGGTGAGAGCAGAGGAAGAACATCAGGACTTTCATGAAGGGCTGTGTTGACTGCAAATTGCACCACCCCATCCCCACAAAATCAACCTCCAGGAGGTGTCTGGAAACTGAGTGTCCTGGGGTCAGCGGGGAGAGATCTCTTCACGCTAAGAAAAAGGGGTAACTGCTAAGGATGCTGGGGGCCCGATGGAAGAGGGCACCCCCTGTGGTGGGAAGCACCCAGTGTTCTGGTGGAGAATCAATGATGAAGGGTATAGATTTGGGGGCTCATTTGTGAGCATTTTGCACTCACGTAAAGAATGTTCAGAGACTCCTGGCCCTTCCCGGGCTGTGGTCCCCAGTCCATCCCTCTGTGCCACTTCACTGCCTGCCTCTTCCTTTACCACCCTCACTCTGCCATGGACGGACCCTACACTTTGCTCCTGCCACCCCTGCACGGGGAGCCGTGCCTGTACTATGCCTCCCTACGCCCCACCCCCCACCCCATCCCAGGCCAACTCCCACCGGACCAACCTCACCTCTCAATCTACCCCCTGCTCATGCACACACCCTCAGTGCGTTTCCTGACCTCCGCATGAATAATCTTTGGCGTGTCCCCACCCACTCAAGAATTCCAGATTCCAGGCACTCCCTTGTTTTTTCCAAAGCCCTTTTCACCAGCAGGTAGGTTATGGACTTACTTGTTAGTGACACGAACGGTGGAAACACAGGATTCATCAGACTTGTTCCCATCTCTGGCTTTCTCGAGTTTGACTCTAAATTTCCTAATATCGGCATGGAGTTGAGACCTCCTTGGCTTAAGAGGACTGTGTGTTTAAAGGATGCGTTTAAAGGCTCTTAACAATTCTATCCAAGATCTACTATGGACTGTAACGATCAGCAGAGTTGAGATTATTCCTCCAGTAAGTAGCTCTATGCTCAACGCAAACTCATTGCTAAATTTAAGAAAACACAGACATTATCACATTAGAGACTTGAAAACCGCCTTGGCTTGGGGTCTTGGCCTGTCTCCAAAGCAATTGTACAGCACTGGACAAAACATGTCAGTTCTCTGAATTGCCATGGTGCTCAGCACTCATCTAATCATGGATTTATTCTTGATGGAAAGCCTCCCAAAAATGTGCTTAGAGGATTCCTGGTGATAATCAGCAACTGGATTGGGGGTAGAATGCAAGGGCCAGGTGATGCAGTGCTGCTCACGCCCAGGGCCACAGACAGAGGTCGTGGGAGACCACGAGGTTCTGGGGATGAACTTTGGGACTCTGCATACGTAAAGGATGTGCTCCTGACCCGGAAGTTCTCTTCCCAGCCCCAATCAGGGATTTTAAGGTGTGAAAGAGATACCATCCTCTAAACACACACTCCTAGTACATCTTAAAAGGTTCCAATAGGACACGGAAGTCATACTTGGTATTGCAGCAGGTGAGTGAATCTCCCCCTCAGCTTTCCTCAGCTGTCCAGATGCCTTTGAGGGCCCATCCCAGCTTGGGCTCTGGGTCATTCCCCAGTGCTGGAGAAAGAAGAGCACTGATATCATGACACTCGTGTCTCTGTCTGCTTGTCTCCAACAGGCCAACAGGCCAGTGTGGACCTAGACACAGCTGGGAGCTTGGGCCCTCAGACAGAGACAGTATTTCAGCTCCTTCACTCCAGGCTTCTGACTCCTGAGGTACCTTTTCTTTCTTTCTTCTGGAGTGATAGCACAGCAGTAGGATGTTCGCCTTGCATGCAGCTGGCCCGGCCGAGCCGGGTTCGATTCCTCTGCCCCTCTTGGAGAGCCCGGCAACCTACTGAGAGTATCTCAGCTGAGAGTTGCTCTTTCTTCTGTCTGGTTAGCAACTGATGGGAAGCAATCGCCAGGGTACAAACACAATTCCTACTGTGCCTTGGATCCCAAATCAAGTGCAGAGAAAGTGCACAGCAAACCCTGGCAAGCTACCTGTGACTCATTCAATATGCCAACACAGTAACAACAAGTCTCAAAATGGACTTGAGCCCACTCGAGCAAATCGATGAACAACGGGAGGACAGTGTGTGACAGTGTATTTTTGGGTCACACCTGGTGATGCAGAGGGGTTACTCCTGGCTTTGCACTCAGGAATTACTCCTGGAGATGCTTGGGGGAACCATATGGGACGCTGGGAATTGAAGCTGGGTCAGCCACATACAAGGCAAACGCCCTACCCATTCCAGCCCCGAGAGAGGGACCTTTTCTCAGGCTGAAAAAGTGTTGCTCTTACTTCTGTCTGGTTAGTGACTGATGGGAAGCAATCGCTAGGGTGCAAACACAATTCCTACTATGCCTTGGATCCCAAATCAAGTGCAGAGAATGTAAACAGTGTGTGCCAGGAAGGTCTGATTCTCTTGTGTGGAAAGAGCCCCGAACTTTTGGTCAGAAACCAGAAATAGTTTGTCACGGCTGAGTCCCATTCTCCTGGCATCTCAGGATTCCCAGTTTCCCCCCAGGACTGCCATGAAAACCAAACAGGGGGAACCCTGAGAACATACTCTGTGACCCTCTGTGGTGGCTCCGCAGACACCCCGAAATGACTGTGACAGAGCTGCTCAAGATTCCCGACCTCATCTCTGAGACCAAAACTCTTCACCCAAGAGATCCACCTGGGAAAATAAGACCCGAAAGCTTTTGAGAAAATGTTCAGGTAGCTTTGGAATAATTTTCCACTGGCAAAAATGCCTTTTCCTTCAGAAGGACCTCAGCACAGGAAGCTGAGCGGGCATCGCGTTCAGGCTGGGTGGGAGGGGGTCAGACCCCCTCCCCCCCCCCCCCCCCTCTCGCTTCCTTCCTGGGAGGCAAGCAGACTTACCAGGTAGCGTTCCTCCTGCCTCATGCTGGGCGTGCGGATCATGTGATTCTGTTCCCCTCGCCAGTCTCCAAAGCGACGGAAAAAATAGTTGGACAAGAACCGGTTGACGGGATCTCTGATGATGTTGATGTAGACGGGCTGGTCGCCTCCAAACCTGAGACACAAACATGACGCTCATTATAACCCATGTCCGGTAGGGGAACATCCTCCCCTCAGATGATCCCAGTCAGTAAGCTGTGTGTGCTGGGACTCGCATTCTCAAGTAGGAAGTGTAGGAGGTGACACTTGTTCAGGTCCCTGTGGAGAGTCTGTGAGGAGAGGCTGTGAGGACTGTTCCCCCACTGCCATTCTAGAGCAGTAATATGATTTGGCAACATGAAGGATTTGTGAACTTGTTTCCTGTCTCCTCACTGGCCGGTAGATTCTTGAGGCCAGGACAACATGGCTGTGAGCCTTTGATTTCTGGTGTCAGGAAGGTCTGTTGGATGGTGTTGGCTCTCAGTGACTGTTCCAACTGATGGCTCAGTTTTGACTATCTTACAGGGGAAATGGATGTACTTTATATTCAAATCCAAATGGTGAGGAGCTCTGCAGTTGGCAGGTTAAAAATAGCCAACATGTTACTGCTCACCTCATTATAAGCCCTTTCTTCAGGTGTTTGAATCAAAGTAACCTCAATGGCAGAGGAGCCATGGTGATCCCTATTAAACCTGAGAAAATTGGAGGCAGTGGCAGAGTGAGATAAGTTGTTTGTGGCTGAGCCAACGTATGAAGCCAGGTGGCATGGCTCCAGAATGCGTACTCTGAACCACAGAGAGTTGAGAAAGATAATGGCACAGGGGATATCATGTGAGAGCAAGTGGGTTCAAGATAAAAATGAAACCAACATCTAGATGTTCCATTTTGATTTTTTTCCACAAAAGGACGAGACCCAGGGGCTGAACACTGCCAGGAGGAAGGCCTTCCTCAGAGGAGTAGGCTGGCTGAATTTTTCCTCAAGATTCCTCCCCTTTCTCTTTGCACTGCCTGAAAGTCATGATTGTGAGTAGATGGGTGTATACTCAAGGCCCAGGGTGGGAATCTTGCTTCACAGATATCCTAATGGTCCCATACGTTTCCTTCTATCTGACCTCAGGCTTTTCCTGAGGAGGCCATCCTGTGGGGAAGTCAGGAAAAAAATCTGGAAACACTAGCTGACAGGACTTCTCCCTTCTCTTACCAGTCTTCCGACTCAGTTTGCCTTACACACCCAGACTGAATTCACCCCTTCCTCCTTCAGTAAGAACTCCCACCTTCGCACCAGCCTCTCCCTCCTCTGTCCAGCATTATGGGTACAAGCTGTCCTCTTCCATCAGACTGTGGGCCAACTGAAGGCAGGAATGATGTCATTTCTGTTTAAGTATCACAGTAACCCATAATAAGTACTTAACTAATGAAGATTCGAATGTCAGATGAATCCTTCTGAGCTTTCCCTAGCAGTGGCAGGGATCACTCCAGGACTTCACACAAGCAAGGCATATGCTCTACAGCTGAGCCATCCCTGCCCCTGCCAGTCTTGTGCTTCTAAGTTTTAAGTTTGTGCTAACAGCAAAGGACTCTATTGCCAGAGGAAAAGAGACATAGAAAGCTACCAACCCATTCTTGTGTTGTAATTTTATTTTATTTTATTTTATTTTGCTTTTTGGGTACACCTGGTGATGTACAGGGGTTACTCCTGGCTCATGCACTCAAGAATTACTCCTGGCAGTGCTCAGGAGACCATATGGGACGCTGGGAATTGAACCCGGGCTGGTCGTGTGCAAGGCAAATGCCCTACCCACTGTGCTATAATTTTTATAATCTTGTCCCTGGTTTATTTGCCAAGTAATTTTTATTTGTTTGTTTTAGTAATACACTTGGCACTACTCCCAAGCTCTGTGCTTGGTGCTCATGGGACCACGTGGTACCTTAGATCAAATCCCGGTCTCCCAGAGGCAAAGCACACATTCAGTCCATTGAGCTATGTCTCTGTTCCCTTTATTTACCATTTAAAAGAGAGTCTTTGGGGCTGGAGAGATAGAACAAGGGTTAAGGCATTTGTTGCATGCAGCTCTATCCCTGGCATCCTACGTGGTCCCTGAAGCACTACCAGGAGTGATCACTGAACCAGGAGTAAGCCTTGAGTACTGTGATGTGAATCAAAACCCCCACCTCCACCTCCCTCTGACCAATAAATAAAAGAGAATCCCAGGAAAAAAAAAACAAGAAATAACAAGGAAGTTTTTCTCCAATGGTCAATAGCAGCATTGGGATGTGTGAAAGATATTCTGCATCCCCTGGATACTACCACTCTGGAGAGTAAGGTTAGTCTGGCCAATTTGGAACCTGTCACCTGGCATGTCACAAGGTGACATGGAGGCAAGTGGACTAATAGCTAACTCGTCCCAGAATACAGTTGTGCCAACAACCAGCTAAACACCATCACCATCCTGAATTACCTCCCTCTTTTGAAATGGCTTTCTTATCTGTGATAAACATAACTAAAATAATAATGTTAGGGATTTGGAACATGCACACCAGATGTGAATGCAATTAAACCCTCAGAAATTGCATCACACTTTCCAAAACCTCAAGTGTACTTCTATCTCCATGGAGAACAATGCACAGCTTGCCACTCCAAGATGCCGTTCAGTCTCACCACAGACCGCATTCACAGATGACGGATGGACAAGCTGGACCAGGCGGTCTGAACAGGGGTGACCTTCTGTCGACACACTTGAACTCAAGGCAAGATTTCCAGAACAATATTCCAAAACAGAAGTGTGAGATGGGTTAAGAGTTTAATGTCAAGTGTCAGGTAATATGAAAGCCTCCCTCTACAAGTTTCTGAAAGTGAAAAGGGTAGAAGACATGTGTCTCCCCCTCTGCAGAAAGCAACAGATGGCTGCACGCTGCCAACTCTCATACTTTTTCTAGGGCACCAGAGCTCCTTCGCAAACAGGCACAAATCTGGGGCAGCATGCCAGTTACACAAAAAGAATACCACTGAGATGTCCCAGTGCCTGAGGGGGAAAAATTCTTTCTTAGCACACACACACACACACACACACACACACACACACACACACGCGCGCGCGCGCGCCCCTTCATTCAACCATCTACTCTCAGAATTAGTTTCTGTCTCTCAGTCATTTCTGAATCACACTCAAGTCTCCTGGTCACTCTTAAATGATCTCTGAGTCATCTGAGCCCACTGTCCACTGCTGAATCTAGAACAAGAATACTTTATAATCTACCCTACCCCTAATCCTAGATAGTACCACATTCTGCTTTATTTTATAAAACCCTGCAGAGAAGATTCCATAACGGCCCTGTGAAGACCATCCTACTGGTCAACCCAATGGTTGGAGAGTCTTTGGTTCATCTAACCCAAATTCCTGGTCTTCCTTTTATGTACAGTTCTTTTTGGTTTGATCCCTTCCAAGAACTAGCTTCTTCAATACTATAACTACTTTAAGCATTCTCAGCTTCAATTTTAACTCCTCCAATGTTTTATGTTGGTGTTGTTTTTGTGAGTGTGTGTGCGTGAAATTCCTTTAGCATTTCAGTTCCTTTCACTTCCAAACCTTACAGTTCTAATTTGGTCTTTAACAAGCTCCCCAAAATTGTGGCAACCACAGCTGATGATAGGTTCTGTATTGTGTAGACATTGGAAGGTAGAGAAGTCAAACCACATTTGGTCTGTTATTTAAAAACACACCTGTTTGTCTCTTTCTCACAATTCTAGCTTTTGCAGAATTTAGGTTTCAGTCAACTTAAAAGAGTAGTTATTACCAATCTCTTTGACATTTGTTTATAGGCTATATTTACCAACTCTTTAATCCCTCCCGTTGGTCCCCTTCCAATCCTATGCAAATTTGTCATGTTCTTTTCATTTTATTTTTATAGGTGAAATTATTCCAAGCCTATAAAAGGCTCTGGGAATAATAACAGCCTGGTTCCCTCTCACTCATTTTTCACTGCATACTGAAATATATTATTTTCTTCAACATCTGTCCTGTCCTATTTTCTCAGTCAAGCAAGACATCAACATTAGTCACCTGTCATACACAAAGCACTTGGGTCATATTTTAGGTCAACTGTTATAACAAAATGCTAATATTTCTGGAATATTTTGCTTATATTAAATACTAGGACAAGACCTGAATCACGTGGAGAATTAAGGCAATTTTATATGCCTACTAGGATAGTTCTAGACAACTGAAAACTGTTCTTGAAAGTATATTTTCTTTTTGTAATTGTGATGAAATAGACACCGAACTTTTTGCTATTGGTAAGAGTACAGGTCAGTGATATAAAATACATTCATTCTTTTGTGCAACCTTCACCACTACCCATCTCCAGAACTTTTCCATTATCTCAAACTGAAACCCTTCCTCGTTAAACAAAAATCCTTTTGTCCATGTCTCTAAGCTCCTGGAAATTTGCAATTTAGGCAGGTATATCTTCTTTTTTAGACCTCAGATCTGAAAGTACAGGATATTTCTGGATAGTTATCTATTAAAAGATGATGAATATCTTGAGGCTAGAGGCTCAGGGCTTGACCCTTGACCATGAAGAAAGAAAGTGAATAAGAAACCATCATGGAAAAAGACAAGAATATTTATTTGGGTACTGGGGGGCAGTATAAAGAACTGCCAGCCAAGGAGAGAGATGTTTATTTAATGGTCCTGTACTGGAAATTAACACCAATATAGACCAGGCACCAGGAGAAGTCCATCCTTCACACCCACAACCCTCTACAGTGGGTATTTTGTCCCTTCACTGTCCAGGGTCAAATCTCTCATCACAAAAGACAAACAGGAATAACTAAGTAACTCTCTGATCAGCCCCAAGGATGGAGCAGAGGGAAGAAATGCTTCCTAGGAAGGGGAGACACATGGATGCAGGAGAGGGTTAGGCCACTATAGGGTGGGAACTGCTTGGAGACAAAGATGACTTGAGCATGTAAGATGTAAGCAGACAACAGGGAAGAAGGTCCTTCGTAGCTGAGGTGGATTCAGGGCAAGTCCAGGCTGTAGTGACCCGACAGCGAGGGGCCAGCACAGCCTGTGTGTCTGTGGCCAGGAGATCTGTTCCCTATAGACTAAAGAGAGAGAAAGCTGAGGAGAAGTGGATGGTTTTAGGAGCAGTCAGCATCATTTTCATCTTAACTTCAAACCCAGTTGATGAGGGAGCGTTCAGGAGGGAATGGTAGTTAATATTAATTTCCCTTTGGGGGCTCTCTTCAAAGTTTGAGGCTCCTGTCACCATGATGAAAGACTCAAAGGGCACAGCATGGAGAGGGATGAAGAGGGATGACTTGGCTCGTGAGAATGAAAATAAAGCCAACATCTGAATGATGAGAATTTGCCAGATCGAATTTGTTTTGCTAAATAATGCCACCAGAGGGGTTGATTTGGGTCACCTCCTCCAAGAAGACTTTGTTGCAAGGGAAGAGGGAAAATGAGGACATGCACCTGGAAGCAAAGGTGACTGATAAGGTCAAGGGTGAGCAAAGACGGTGACCTGGTACAGGGTTCAGACAAGTGGCCACTTCCAATGATCCCACCTGTTAGAGTTTCTTAGACTCTGGGGTTATTTTGAAGGTTTTGAGCCCCAATACAAAAAATCCACCTTTTTTCCCAGAAAGGCCCAAATTGGAAGTTTGAGGGGAACTAAAGATTGGATAAATACTGATTGCCTGATCCTTAGGCTCAGAAGCTAAATAGAAAATTGGGGAAACAAACCAAATATTCTGCCAGTGTTTTCAGAATGTCCATCAAAGGTTGGGTGTAGATATGAAAGTTAGAAAGTCTTCAAAACTTGCCACTCTTAGGTTACTTCAATTACAGGAAACAAAGAGGACAGGGAGCCACAGAGGGCACCCATAAATACCCACAAATACCCTGACTCCCACCCCAGCCCCATTCTGGGACCAGGTGATACTGACTCAAATCTCCAGGCAGCCGCAGTGAAGGGGAAGGAGGATGGCTGACTTCTCAGGCCTTTCAAAAACTGTGTGAAGAGCAGGGTAGGAGGTAACCTCAAGAATCCAAACTGTGGTCTCTAGGGTGTGTCTGAAGTGGTGTTCCCACAACAGGAAACCTTTTGGAGGCAGCTACCCTAAACCCCAGATGGGTCTAGTAGAATTGCTTCTCATGGCTGGAGGAAGAAAACTGGATCTTGGGCAAAGCTTCCTTCCCATCCTCAAAAGAAGGAAGTGAGCCAGGGGCCTAAATGAAATAAGTAGCTAACTACAGAATCCCACCCAAGGCTAGCCTTAGAGTTACATTTTGGTAGAATACTTGGAAAGATTAGCACCTGTGTGAGCAGCTGTGGGAAGAGCTGCATTCAGACAAGCTTCCTGACAAGAACGACTTGAGGGTAATTTGGAAAGCCAGTAGGTACATTCACCTGCCTATTAATTCTGTTTTTGTTGGTTTGTTTTGGTTTGGGGACCACACCCAGCACTGCTCAGGGCTGACTTCTGGCTCTGCGCTCAGTGGCTCAGTGATCACTCCTGGCAAGGCTCAAGGTACCGGATGGGGTACCTGGACTAGAACCTGGGTGAGTCACATGCAAGGAAAACCATGCCCTACCCACTCTACTATCTCTCTGGCCCCTGCCTGTTAATGAATTCTTGTCTGAGTTTCTTCATCATTCTGATATGAGGTGACCCCAGCCCTGGGAGAGGCATCAGGTCAGTTTTTGGAAAAATAGCTCAGGTCTCTCTCTGCCTTAGAAGAATGCAAAACAAAGAATCTGTCATTTTAAAACTTTTTTGGGTTTGTTTTCGGGTCACACCTGGCAATACTCTGGGATAGCTCTTGGCTCCGCCCTCACTGATCACTCCTGGTGGGACTTAAGGGACCATATGGGATGCCAGTGATCAAAACTGGGGGCTGGTCACGTACAAGGCAAGCGCCTTCTCTCTGTATTATCTCTCCAGCCCAGAATTAAGTTCTTGTTATCTGATCCTATCTCTTTCTTCTTGGCAGGGAGAGGATATATACCATCCCTAGCCGATCTCGTCAGCAGCTGTAGGTGCCACAGCCAGGGGTCACTGAGGATCATTTACAGGTGTCCATTCTCTTCCTAGAGGGACAATGGCAGTCAGGCCGGCTGGGGATACTGGAGTTTGGTTGTTTTTTTTTTTGGTTTTTGGGTCACACCCAGTGATGCTCAGGGGTTGCTCCTCGCTCTGCACTCAGGAATTACTCCTGGCAGTGCTCGGGGACCATATGGATTCTGGGAATTGAACCCGGGTCAGCCACATGCAAGGCAAACGCCCTCCTCACTGTGCTATCGATCTAGCCCCCTGGAGTTTGCTTTTAAAGACAAGGCAGCAGCTTCTCTCTGCTGCTCATTGACATGATTGACCAAATCTCTTTCTCATAACCCTAACCATAGTGATCGGGCCCCGGGCAGGGCAGGGAAGGCCCTCTGAGATTATCAGGAGTAGAAAGTGGCTAAGGCAGCTGTGCCTGACCAGCGTGATCTCAGAAGGAGCTCAGAGCCTTCTAGAGGGCCTTGCCTTGGGCCTGCCAGGTCAGTACCAGCTGGTGCTCCCCTGCAGTGCCAGGAGGTCCTTTCAGCCCCAAAAAGAGCACCAGAAAGAGCTGGTCAGTGGGGCCCACAGTCTTAAGCTGGTCAGTAGATTTGTGACACATCGACTCTGGGCAAATGGCAGTGACCAGAGCACTTTGCTAATGGTCATAAACAAAGAAAAGGCCCCCAACTTACAGCTAGCTGCCTCATAGATCAAGGGGCCTAAAAACTTCATTTGAAGATTTATGTTATTAGCTAAAGCACCCTAAAGCTGAAGGGGGGAAAAAAACCCAGCTATCTAAAATATTCCACTAAAGATCAAACATGCCAGACTTAGAATAGTCTGATGGAATATTAAACAGGTAGGCTAGCATTTCAGATCCTATAAAATCCACATCTCTCCACCATAGAGAATTATTCCTGGTGTTCTGTGTAAGTTCAAAGGATAGAATTATGTGCAATAAAATATTGCCATTAAAACACTCATCACTTGCTTCCTAATTTCTTTCAACAACAACCCAATTTCCTTTCTTCCTTCCTTCCTTCCTCCCCCCCTCCCTCCTCTCGTTTCTTTCAGGTCAAATGGCTTTTCATTAGAAAGCAATTTTAAGTTTTCACAAGATTTAAGAAGAGTATTCTAGAAAAGCAGGCAAGCATCTGTCCAAACACGTAAAGTTTCTATCTCTCTGCAATGGTTCCAAACTTATTTGGCCTATCATTTCCTTTGCAGAAAAATGTCCCCTTCCCCCAAATCTATCATCTGTAAGTGAACAAAAAAAGACCCTAATTATACAAGAGCTTACTACAGCCCTCACACCCTGGAGGGTGGGGGGCGTATTTGGCTACTTTAGGAAACACAGATTTACTGCGAAAATCAACAAATTGGTGAAAATGTCTTTTTGAAATCAATTACACATTCTTGAAAATGAAGGTAGATTTTTAAAGTGACTGTTCATTAGAAAAGAGTTTTAAGTGTTTAAAAGAAATGAAAGAGCCATTAAATTGGAAAATATCTTACCTTGAGAAGTTGAGGAAGTGAACGTGTCGCGTGAATAAATAGGGCTGTTCGGCAGTACTTATATTTTTAATCAGTTCCATCTATGAAAAAAAAAGGTATGAAATTAGCATATATAGGATCTCATTAACCAAGCTATACTCATCTAAAGGTTAAATACCCGACTCGTTCATCCGTGCATATTACCTCTTAGACCAGGGCAAGATACTTGTGTTCTGTGCAATGGTATGAACTTCCTATCAGGCTTCTTGCTGAATCAAGCAGTGCTAGCCATATTGATAGGCCTGTATTTAATTTAACTGACTGCTACCATGAAAACAATATGACAGCTTCAGTCACTGAGCTGAAGAAGCCAGGGTTGCATGTAGCGAAATACAAGAAGTATGATACCTTTACCCCCTCCCAATAAGGCAATGAGCAAGACGACAGATTAGTCGTTATTTTCTATCCTGATAGTACAATAAAGTGATAATATCTCAAATAAGTGATAATATCTGACACTTTCTTCTTCACTTATAAAAATTACAAAACAAATATTTCATGGAAAATATAAAGCTCTTTTTCAACATCCCTGTGTGTGCTTTTGTGTGTGTGTGTGTGTGTGTGTGTGTCTGTGTGTGTCTGTTTGTATGTGTTGTGGGTGGTCATTTTAGTTATTTATTTGCAGATGTCAGCAAAGCAAAAAGTTGTTTGTGTTTGTATAAACTAATGTTTATAGATCTCTGGGACAGGCCCTGATACAGACAGCGTTTAGGAAAATCTGGTAGAAATGCCAGGCATTCTTATGACTCCTGACTTCCTGAATTCTTCATGCCTTAAATTTCCTGCTGAGCCCTATCAACAGAGACCCACTTGCAGACTCTTTGGAAAGCTTATTGAAAATGTCTACTTTGAATGCACATTAGAAGTGCAGCCATTTCTATTTTATGAAACAATTCCAACTGGACACTAGAAACAAAGAAGGTAGTCCTATGTCCACCAGGTAGTAACAGCTATAAGAAAATTAGAGCCTGGGGATGGGGTGGGGGTGGTGAGAGGGATACTGGGATCATTGGTGGTGGAGAATGGGCACTGGTGGAAGGATGGGTACTCAATCATTGTATGACTGAAACAAGCACAAAAGTTTGTAAGTCTGTAACTGCACCTCATGGTGATTCATTTAAAAATTAAAAAAGAAAGAAAGAAAGAACAGAAAATTAGAGCCTGAAGTCCACATTTTTCTCACCAGGACAGAAGACCTCACTCCTCTTGCTCCCTCATTATCCAATGCACAAACAGAGACGAAATGGTCAATTAATACTCGTGCCATGAATGAACTGCAATGGCTACATGATACAGATATCAGCACATCATTTAGATCTTGGTGTCTAAAACCTTTTTTTAAAAAAAAAAATTTTAATAGTGAGACACCATGAGGTACGGTTGTACACTTACAAATTTTTGTGCTTGGGTTTCAGTTATACAATGATCCAGTACCCATCCCTCTACCAGTGCCCATTCTCCAACATTTACATTTTTAAAAAAATTTTTGTTAGTGAAACACCATGCGGTACAGTTGTAGATTCAAAAATTTTTGTGCTTGGGTTTCAATTGTACAATGATCAAACAGCCATCCCTCTAAACCCCTTTTGTTAGCTATACATTCTCACAATGATTATTTGAAGAAATTAAATTGAATTTGAAAAGTAAATAACTTGCAGTTTATCACGCTATGCTTCTGTTGGCCATAGCGGATGTGGGGAATAGTGGTATGGCCGCTTTCAAGTTGGAGCATAAAGGAAAACGGAATGGTGGCTCTTTGACCACCATTTACCCTGTCCATTTCATCCCACACCCACACCAGCACCATCAGAATCACATCCCGGCACTTGCTTTTGATAACACAACTCCCTGCATGGTCAAAGTGCAAACATTTATTTGGGGGATTCACCAATTTGGAAGCACAACCAGGATACTTCTCACGTCTGGGGGTATCTGCTGAGAAACAACAGTTCACTGTGCATAGGTTTAACATAGAGACCCTTTATTGTTTGAAGCTCAAGATTATTTTTCTACTGACATTCCTCTGCACACCTCAGAGGAATCTGAGCCATAAAACCTCCCCTTATTGTACAGAGGACCGGAAGAACAGGTCGGGTGAAAACCCATTTCTTTTCTATCGTCAACATTCTATTACATTCTCGAAACACATGTCAGTGTGTTCAATTTATGGAAGAACAATAGTGGGTAGGTTTTGAGAACAGTGTCATAACAATCATAAAGCTGTTCTTTTTCAAAAAGAAAAATGAATTAGCAATGACAATCTATAACTCTTTCTAGATGCTTTATAAAACACAGGATAAAGCACTATTCCTCATGTTTATTGCATTAGGGGGGCACATTTCAGTTCTCCTTGCCTCTGTCACCACACACTGGGCAGTGAAGCCACCGAGGAAGAACCAGGAGTCCGGGCTGACATTTGATCAACTTCACAAAAGAAAATTCCTGATTTCTCATGATGAGCAAGTCTCCTAAGTTACCACCTGGCGTCCCTCTCCCCATCGTTGTCCTGGGATTCCCCAGCTGCTGGTCTCTTGTCTGAGTCCAACCATCATGGTGGCAGTTGGTTGACCCAACAAGCCACCCCCCCCTTCTCCTTGTTGATCTTCATTCTCATTCCACTAGCTACATTCGTGTACCACGTGATGGCATTTATTGCTCCTTGGAGATAAAAACATGAATAAGATCTGTGAGAAGAGCCATGCAGACAAGCCAGTGGGGGCTGGATGAGAGCCCAGAGGGCAAGGCACTTGCTGTGCATGTGGCTGACCCTGCTTTGAGGGTCCCCTGAACATTGCCAGGAGTGATCCCTTAACACTTAGAGCCAGAGGTAAGCCCTGTGCACTTCCAGTTGTGACCCTCAAACCCAAAACCTGCTTCCACCCTTCCTGCCCAAAAGACAAACTCATGCGATATTGTACCCAAAAAAGTTCCTAATCTACCTTGGCTTAAATCAGCCTCCTGGTCCTTAACTAACTTGACTCTACTCAGTTGAGCCCATCTCTGGAGACTCTGCTGCCACTGCTTTGTATGTTCTCCCACTTCTCTGGACTTCCCGGACTCCCCGTCACAATCCCTTGCTGAGTTACCTTAGTTCTCCCTTCACTGTATCCCCGCATTGGCTTTTACTCCCGCCAGGCATATTAGACCCGGTTTGTTCCTTCATCCTACGAGGTCCAAACTCAGGCTCCAGCTTCTTCTGCAATGCACCAACCAAGTCTGACCCCTCTGCGTCTGGCCCACCTCCTCCTGCAGCCCCCTGCAATTCTCCTTTGATGCAGCTTGCATCCATCTCCAAATTAGGTCAGGCAAGCTTCCGCTTGGGTTGCAACTACACAGGAAATGATCAGGTTCTGGCTCTCAGGAAGGTATGGGTGAACTGGGGCAGGAGGCAGGCACCCTCCTGTGATAACACCCCTGCAGGTGGAAGGCCGAGAAGCCGGGCACCACTCCCGGCCTGCGCACGGAGAGGCTTTGGTTCTTCCCTAAGGAGGTTTTTCTGCACGTGTAAAGAGCCCACCGCAGACACTGTGAGAAGAAAATGCAGAGGACAAAAACCAAACCCACAGACTCCCTCCCCCCACTCCCCTGCAAAATCAAATGACATGAAAAGGGATTAAAGCAACCAGGGATTATTTTTCCTGTGGCACTTATTGACTTATTCACTTATAGACAAGAATCAAAACTTGGCACAGCCCAAGGACTGGATTAACCACAGTGTGTGTCGCACAACGAAATACTCCTGGGCTGTAAGTAAAGATGAAATCATGAAATGTTTTTCTAGGTGGACAGATCTGGATAGTGTCTGGAGATACATCAGCATACCGATTCCTGCTACGTGAAGGGAAGCTAGTAAGAAAGAGAGGGACATCCACCT